ATGAAACTTTGAAATACATGTTTGCGAACACACAGTCAACCAAGGTGACATTCCACACACTAACACAATCAATGTTCGCCTAGTCCCTTCGCGAATATTCTGACCTATAACTCATATTGCATACAAGCAACGGCGTGCGGCTTGCACGAAAACGTACAAGAAGGACGAAAGCATAAGCAAGGCCATAACACTCAATCATGAATGGTCACACGATCAGCCATCATGGCGACACTTTATGCGATACCCATAACCATGCGAGCCTTTATGCATCTCAGGGTCACATATATAGTCAAACAGAACTGCCCAGTAAACCGTAGGCAGAAAGGGAAAAACGAACGACAAAGGAGGGGTTGTGACATATTGTTTCGTCGAAATTTTCACTGAATCATCAAGAGGTTGAACCCTCTATAGTCTGTAGAACCCCCTAACCGATTACATTGTAAATGATAATCCACCATAAACCCAGTTGTGCTATGTGTCCGATTTTGGATTCAACGAGGGTTCCGCGTTGAATTATTCAACGCGCGTTGAATTCGCGTTGAATCCCCGTTTAAACATCCGTTAGACGGGGAAAAACGGGGTTCGCAATGATTTTTTTCCTGGGCTAAACATAATCGAGAATATAAAATAAAAATATGGGGTTGTAGATCTTTTCAAGGTTTACAACCCCATTTTTTTTTTTTTAAGCTTTAAATATATTTAAAAAAAAACAAAAACTCAAGCACAATTAAAAAAACAAAAACAAAAAATGACATGAGTTTTTTTTGGGGGGGGGTTCACAGAGATTTTGTAAGGGCTAAAACAAAACCAGAAAAAAAAATAAAAAAATATAGGGTTGTACATCTTTCAAAGATGTACAACAACATTTTTTTATTTTTTATTCTGAAGTTTGTGTATTTAAAAAAAAAAAATCAAAACCATAAACAACATATTTTTTGGCCTGCCGTGCTTATGTAATCCTGCTAGACTCCTTGAATTGGGCCTGTAGAAGATTGCATGAGCCTGGTGTCCGAAGTTCCCATACGGCAAGGTTTGTCCGCTTCCGCTTCCATCAAGGCTGGGAGGTTGGCCCAGCCGTGGTGCTTGTCCCATTAGCAGTCGGATAAGAGTGTGGCCGATCCAGTGTGACACTGAGTAGCATCGGCCAGACAGGTTCATTACGAATTTCTGGGCTGAGAAAACAGGAGAAAGGCCAAAAAAAAAAGAAGAAACAGAGACCTCCCACAGGAAATCACGGCAGAGTGTTTCCCAGCCATCAGATCACAAATGATCTGATGGTGGTGGCTGCAACAACAGTGAACAAAGTAACCACCACATTTTCTGTAATAAACCTGACTTCTGTCAGCACTGATCCTGACACCCTCCATATACTCCGTGATTGAAGGAGGGCTCCACCCAATGAGATAATTGCACAACAGCAAGTAAAATACTGAAAATCTTCTATCCAGTGGGTCTAAGGCCAACCCCACCCTCCTTTGGGGTTGGTCACACCCCCAACCGATTGAAAAGATTCTGGCGGGAAGCTTTCTTTGAACGGGCATGCCCAGTGTTAAACCACCAGTACTTAGGCACTGCGTGCCGCGCCGGCCGCCCAAATCTTGAAGCATCGCGGGCTGTCGATTCGATTTATCGACGGTTCGCCGGGCGCGAAAATCGCGTAGCGTTAATGCTAAGGCGTCGCCCAAGTACTGGTGGTTTAAGGAGAGGAGGGGAACAAAGATCTCCTTACTTTTTCGGGTAATACATGTAAAATACTGACCGTGGGATCACGAGTAGTGCACGGCAGGATTTGGGTCACTCAACTGCCCCACAAACTCGTTTCTATCCTATCCCGTTGCTAGTGGGACCTTGCCCCTGGTAGGGTGATGATCCTGAGCGCTGGTCACACTGATGTAGGATACTAGGGACAGGGGATGCGCTGGGAGTATTAACATGGGGATGGGTAGGGTAGGTGGCCTATCCTGTCAGGACAACCATTGGCTGGTGCTACCAGCAATCACCATGGGTCTGGTCCTTGGCCTTTACAACACCCTGGGTTAAAAAAAAAAAAAAAAAAAAAACAACAACAATCTTCTACTAGAACGTGGAATAATACGCCGCCATATGTTTTGTCTTTTGTGCATGTGGTGAGTAGAGGCCCTTAGGGCCACTGCACGTATTCCTAAGAAAAGAAA